TAGTTGTCCAGATAATTTCTTTCTATTTTTAGTAGAGACGGGGTCTTGCTCTTGCTCAGCCTGGTCTCGAACTCCTGACCTTGAGCGATCCATCCGCCTCGGCCTCCCAGAGTGCTAGGATTACAGGCATGAGCCACCGCGCCCGGCCTTATGAAAATTATTTTTATGTGTTATACAGATGAATTTGATGAGTAGAGAAAAAGTTTAGTCAGGGAGACTAATAATTTCCCTCTAAATTGAGGAAGAATTGAATTGAACTTAGGCTAACTACACTAATTTTACTTAATATATTCTTTGGTTTTTGGTTCCGAGAGTGATCAGTTTTTAAAATCTTTATTTGGAAATAGAGAATCATAACATAGGGAGAAGCTCTTAGATTAAATTTCCTTTTTTTTTTACTTCTTCAGTCACAGAATATTAAGACACACTGCAGTTATTTGTACCAGCCGGTCTTTGAATGTACGAGCCACTGTCTGCAGAAGTAATTCTCTTGAAGACGAAGAAGGCAGAGGAGGCAATATGCTAGTCTTTGTGGATGTGGAAAATACCAATACTGTAAGTTGGTTTAAAATTGAGTTTTGTTTTTAATTATATTTGAAGTGTGTCTTTTGTTTTTAGTAATGGGTTGTTTTTCCCTCCACAAAACAGCATAAGCTAGGAATTTTAGGAATGCTCTTAATCCTCCTTTATTTAGCTTTGTAATTTTATCCCTCAGTCCTCCAAATAAAAGGATCTGCTGATATTAATATGTTAGACATTCATGTGATATATAGTCCCATATACCAGTAATTCAATCTAAAAGAGATCTCATAAAGTGCTTTCTAGAAGTCTCACCATTCAGAATAATCGATTGATGTAATTAAATTTAAGAGGTTCATCTAGGATTTCACATTCAGTATTAACTTGGTAACCCCTCACTTAGACATTTCTGATAGTACCATTTTCTTTATATAAGGAATTTCCAAAATATTGCCATTTCTGTTTTTTACTCCAATATAAAAATGAATATTCTTGAAGAAGGTAATGTGATCTCATGACTAAAATGGGACCTTAGTCTCAGATTGACTCAGATACTTAACTGAAATGTTACTTATTAATTCCCTTTTAATTTGTAGGATATTTAGGGTTAATATGCCAATACTTTGGTGATCTTTTAAAAAATCAATAATTAGTATGACTAAGAAAATTTTAATGATTTCAGGTTTTTTTATTTCAAAATATTAAGGGGGTACAAATTTTTGTTACATGGATACCTTTTTTAAATCAAGGCTTTTAGTGTGCCCATCATCTGAATAGTGTTCATTGTACCTGATCCGTAGGGTTTTACCCCTCCACGTCTTCCTGCTCCCCCCTTCTTGATTTCTCGTGTCCTTTATTTACATCTCTTGTGCCTATGTATGCCCATAGATTAGCTCCCATAATTTCAAATTTTAAATTTGCACTTATTCAGGAGAATAAAAAAAGTTACATGCTGTTTAAATAACTTCATGGGCATTGACCATATATTGGGATTCTGGTTTGTGAGATTTTTTTTGTTGCTTGTTTTTTGCCTTAATGGGAATGAGATATCTCAGAAAGATGAGAAGAAATAAAAGGAAAATGCCATAGTTTTGATTATAAATTGATAATAAATAATTTTTGATCTATTAAATACTACCAATAATTCATTATGATAGAATTTAATAACTGAATGCCTTTGAGTATTTTAAAATATACTGCTGGCTGTGCATTATAGTCA